ATAAATATAACCTGTGCAAACTCAGAGGCAGTGGATCCAGGAGGCCTCTTTGGTTTACCGAGGAACTCCGGGAGAGGAAGCGCTGGAAGAGACGCCTAGAGCACCTATGGAGGTCCAACAAATCCGAATCGAGCCGAGCACTTCTAACATCGTGCATCAAGGAATACATCAGGGCAATTAGGATGGCAAAAAGAGCTTATATTGCCACCTTGATCGCCTCCGCTAAGAACTGGACGTAGTCCTCAGCCCTACCCTGCAGGGGATCCTCTGTGTCCCTCCTGTTTAGGAGGGAACGGGTTATCCTAAACAGGGCGGCTGGGCGCGACTCAGTGGAGGCAATCAAGGTTGCAATATAAGCTCTTTTCGCCGTCCTAATTGCCCTGATGTATTCCTTGATGCACGATGTTAGGAGGGCTCGGCTCGATTCGGATTTGTTGGACCTCCATAGGTGCTCTAGGCGTCTCTTCCAGCGCTTCCTCTCCCGGAGTTCCTCGGTAAACCAAAGAGGCCTCCTGGATCCACTGCCTCGGAGTTTGCACAGGTTATATTTATTAATATTATTAAAAATTACAATTGGTGCACTCACTGCCACTACTGATTCTCCCAACTGACATGATTTTAATATAGTATTATTAAATTATTTCAAAATAGGATGGCAAGTTATTTTGATTTTCTTGAGTCTTGGGGTGCATGGACTTCACTTTGAGAAACACTACTTCAAAAGAGAAACGTTTTATAATAACTTCAAAATTAGATGGTATTTTGCCCAGGTTTTGAATGTCAAAAGCTAGTTTCTCCAATGTCACAGTCAAACTGATTTCAAAGTAAGGTTTAAAAATAGAATATAAATTAATTTAAACTGCTCAGACCTTGACAAAATCTTAAATGTTCCATAGTAAAGAAATATTAAAGTTTCCTTTATAACATCTAGTCTATGATGCATCACACAGATTACAACTAAGTGCAAGAAAAAAACAGGTTTTCCCAGTGCTTAATTAGAGTACCCAATCAACAAAGATAAAACAGATCTGAAGGTCATTCTCCATAGCTTCAACTGCATCTACAAATCCATTCATATGCACATGATATAAAGTACATTATTGTTGCATATTGATACATAATTGTGATATGTACATTACATTTTATACATTAATGTAATATATACATTACATTTATGTATAATATAGTATGTATTTTGTTGTACAAATGTATATGTTCTGAATTGGAACATGAATTTACAACAAAGTAGGCCGAATGCTGCATTTCAAGTTTACTCACAAAAGCTCAGTTTTTCAATCTCAATAGCAAATATTGTGATAACAAAATTGTTCCATAAATTTCAAAATAATAATCCACAATACATCCTGGCTACATGTTGGGGTAGTCATACATTTTGAAGTCTTAAATTAAACTTAACTCCATGTTGTTGTTTCTGGCCACGATACAACTGGTTTGCCATTCCTTTTTCTAGGGGAATTAGTTCTTTTTAAACTTCCCTACAATTCTGGGATTTTCTGATAGTTTCTGTCANTATATTTCCAATATCTTTACAAAAGGCAAGAATATATTCAAACAAAATCGTCTTCAATGTCAGATTTATAAAAGCACTCGTGCATCAACCAACCTATTTACAAGAGAGGTTATCAAACAAGATATTTCCTGTATTTTTGGCAGGATTTCTTAACATAATGCCAATAAAGAATGGAAGTAGAGCTGTAATATTCATATACTTGCCCTAAAAGTATCACAACATCCTTTCTTTTCATAGTGAAGCAACTACTTTATATTACATTAAAAATCTTTCATTAACTTTCTTATGAGCTCATGTAAATAGGATACTTGTTTATCAGCATCATAATAGATGGCTCACACTTAATATAGAAATTACTGAATGGTAAATTCCAAACAAACCTCATTTAAGCGTTATGCAATGTATGAATCCAGCCAGAGTGACAGAGTAGAAGGGAATACTGACACATAATATAATTTTGCTAGGTTTTGGTGACATACAACCCCAGTCAATATGGTTTAATGTTATGTATGAAACAGATCACAATAAGCACTTGCCGGACTTATATACTGCTTCACAGTGCTTTACAGCCCTCTCTAAGTGGTTTAGAGTGTCAGCATATTGCTCCCAAACAATCTAGCTCCTCATTTTACCAACCTCAGAAGGAAGGAAGGAAGACTGAGTCAATCTTGAGCCGGTGAAAATCAAACTGCCAAACTTCTGACACCTGGCAGTCAGCAGAATTAGCTTGCAGTACTACCTTCTAATCACTATGCCACCACGGCTCCATGCTTTCTTCAACAATGATTAAAGAACTGGCTTTGTTTTGTGCATGTACACTGATAGTGAATAGTACCATACATGAAGGGACCATCCCTTATTCTGCAATCTATATGCCCTCTGACTGAAAAATGTTTTAAGAATGTAATAAAACTAAGACAAGTATTTTACTTCTATTCCTGTTGGGAAGCACCCAGCCTGGCAGAGAGGAGGGATCAACCGTGCAGTTAACCTGGAGTCAATGCGGTGAGATTTGAACCGCAGATAGCAGTCAGCTGAAGTGGCTGCAGTACAGTACTCTAACCACTGCGCCACCTTGGCTCTCAAAAATTTCCCAAAAAAGTAAATGAAATGCCTAATGAACCATGCAAAAAATCTTACACTTATTATTTTATTCTATTTCATTGATACAGCCTTTGGTTCTTGGGCGGGGGGATGTGTATCAGTATCTCCAAACAATTTTTTATGAAATCCACAATTTCAAAATTAATAATACATTTTCAAAATCAGTGCTACAACAAAGGAATGCCATGCAGTAACAACATATGTATTTGGATTTACTTACCAAAAAGCTGACAAAGCTGGCTCCAAAACTCATTAAAGGACTATGGTTTCTATTGAAAGGAAAGAAAAATACAATTAATACATATTAAATATATATCTTTGTTCAGAATTTACACAATGTTCATTTTCACTTCAATCATGAATCCTCCCCAACTGTCCAATTTTAAGCATGAAGATGTTATTTTGAGTGTCAAATGGGTTATTTCAACCATTTTGGAAGTGTTTTACACATCACACAAGCCTGTTCTGGATACAAAACATTTTAGTTTGATTTTGCAACTATTCCAAAATGCTTAAAACATCTTGTATCTTGCTTAAAAACTATTTTTCTTGAAACGAAAAAAAAATTATGATGACTTGCACTTGAACCTAACCAGTGTCTGTTGCCAGAGTTGCACAATCAATTTCAGGTCCTCCCCCAGTGTGTTATCATTCTGAAAATGTTTTTCAAGTTTAGAGAGAAGAGAAACTGGCTTCTTCAGAGAAGAATTCAACGGTTGTCCCAAAAGACAACTGTGCTGGTGATGGTGACTCACTGTTGAGAAGAACAGGTCTGCAGAGCAGACATGGTATCAAGAGAAGTATGTTGTCTTCCACATGCAGAAATATGGGATACAACAAGAGTGACTGGACTGAGTACCCCAGCCTGACTACTATCTTCTTCTTCTGTTTTGTATTGGAATAATACTGCCAGAATGAGTCTGGAAAGAAATAGAAGAACTAGGAAGAACTAGGAATGAAAACCACAGTATTTGAAAGACAAATTTTATTTTCAACCATGGTTCTAAGTGAAGGTCATGTCCCAAGGAAGAAATAGAGGATTCTGGAGGAGAACCATTGGTTTAAGCACTGGTGTACCAAGAGATGGGCTGGATCTCAAAAAGATTGGGAAGAATGTATTTCAGTTCAGGCTGGCTTTAAACTAAACATGGGAAAGGAGGAGAAACCATACTCAAAGCAATAAAATTTATAACAAAGAAGAAAGCAGTACTCAAGAATACATCAGAAGATGCAAGAACAGTAGTACTGAAGGACTCAGATTAGTACACTAATGCTCAGAAATGGAGTATTTTAAGTCCTAGGACTGAGGACAACGCAATATATTATTAGTACTGCTGATACCTGGTCGATATAACTCAATTCAAATATTGGAATATAGCACTTAAAGGAAATAATTTGTTCATATTCAATAAAAGTGAAGGGGGTTGCATTATACATAAATGACTACACCTATATGGACATACAGATCAATTGCAAAAATTTAGCCTAGTATGAAATTCTGAATAATGAAATAATTAAGACCCAGTACAAACAATACCAAACAGAAAGAAAAATAGGAGAATGCTGATGTGATTGGCATGGCTGTTTAAAGAGCTTTGTGTTGAACCAATAAACAAAATGTACACATTTAAAATAAGGAATAAGGGCATATTAAAAAAAAGAATATCAGGAAAAGGTTCAAATCTGTAAGGATGAAATCAGAAAGGTTAACACTCAGAAGGAACTGAGACTTACAACAAGTGCAAAAAAATGCAAAAGAAGATGTGTGTGTGTGTGTGTGCGCGCGTGCACGCGCGTGTGCGTGTATGTATGTATATGCATTTTTTCCTCCAGATTATGGGAAGTGGTAGTTCCTTCTGGGGGAGGTCTGGCAAACTAAAGACAATAACTGTGACAAAGGGTAAGAAGAGGATAGGAGATCTCCCACATGTGTTCCAGATGAATGCTCCTTGTGAAACTACAGTAGCTTTTAATCTTAGACGTTTTTCACTTCTTTTAATGTTTATATTTTTAAAAAGTTTCTTCAAAAGCCTAACTATAAAATAAATTTTACATAACTTTTGATGATTTAATAATATTTAATTAAATTTAATTAAATATTTAAATAACATTTAATAATATCAATATTTATATAACGTGAACTATCAGCATCAACAAAATCACCATCAGTCAATTGCAAAAGGCAGTTCTGCTTGGAACAGCTTACATCCTGCAACAATACATTTAAGACCACTGAATATCCACATCTGCCTAATCCAGGTCCATGGGAAGGACTTGATAGGGGACAAAAATGTCAAATCAGTCAGAACATCTGGCTAACTATACAATAAACAATAAGAACATTCAATTTAGTGAAAGCTAAATCAGAAACAAATTGGCATACTGTTATATATATTTTCTTAACAATGTATGCGGAAGAACTGGTTCCAAGGACTGCCTCGCTGCTATTTAATAGTAGCTCATGAAGTAGAAGTCAAGGGCATACATTCTGCAGAATCTGTGAGAGATCAAGGCCTTGATCATCGCAAATAAAATAGCCATCCAAATGTCAGATTTTCATTGTAAGAGCTTTGCAGTGTACCAGAGATTAAATTAATAAACTTTGCAAGTAGCATTTTGCTGCTAAGCACCCAATGTTGTTCATTTATTAAATTATTATTTATTATTATTATTATTAAAGTTTATTTATATGCCGCCCTTTTCCCTGGGGGGACTCAGGGCGGCTCACAACTTAAAAGGGAAGGGGGGAAAAGACAAACTTTTAACATATAAAACAATACATAATTAAAACACAACATTCATACTATTTGGGCGGGTTGTAGTCTTAACCCCAGGCCTGACGGGATAGCCAGGTCTTGAGG